TCATCCGTATGCCGGTGGCCTAAGTTGTTCAGTCGCACAGTCGAGTCCGACTTCGTGACCCCATAGACCACATCACGCCAGGCCCTCCTGTCTTCCATCGTGCTCCGGAGTTTGCTTAATTTCATGTTCGTTGCCTCGATAACATTGTCTAACCATCTCATCCTTTGCAAAACCTCTGACCTGTTTAATCTCAGATCTGAGCTAGCTGGGGGTTATTCAGTGATGAATGAAGGACTCTGGGTATGGGCTATGGGCATTTCCCCACATAGATTATGGGTAGAAAACTTTCAAAAATCAGCAACTGTCTTTTTTTTGGGGGGGGGCAAAGGATCCCCACCTCCACGTAGCTTCCCTTGGTACTGAAAAGAAGATCTGATACTGATCCTTAAATCAAATGAAATCTTATGTGGCATTCAAATGCCACTCTCACATCACTTCTCCTTCTCTTTTTGTTCTTGCTTTCAATTTCCTTGGTCCAGGGATCTTTTTCAGTTTAGCTTGTTACATGTATTATACTGAAACAGATCAGTCTAATGAGGTCTGTATTATTTACTCAGATGGGCAGTGGCTCTCCAAGGTCCCAGGTAGAAGTCTTTTACACCACAAGTTGCTGGACTAGATGGACCATGGGTGTGATCCTCAACCCTGCAAGCCCTTTTGTCCGCCCTGCCTGGATGCAGTCACCTTTTGTTATCTTTCTGGAAAGCACCCCTGCTCAGACAGAGCCAGGAAATCCATAGGTTATCCTGCAGTCACCATTAATTCCTGGACCTTACAATTATTTCTTTTGATATTCTTTTGTGCTGGCTCCTATAGCTATCACTGGTCTGCCAGCCAAAACTGTATATTCTCATCCTCTCCCCTTGGTGCAGAGGCTGAGAAGTCCAGTTTTCTTTCTCTAGGACATTTCTTTGCCACACAGCAGTATCCTTCCCCTCCCTTATCTTCGTCTTTTTCCTTGGGACCTTTGGAAGTTCTGACTAAAGCCCTTACTCTCAACCTGTGGATCATTGAAACAGACAATGTACTCTATTCAGGCCCTGGTCACACGGGCCAGATAATGCGGCGTGTGTGTGGGAGGTGTGGCTGTTTGCCCCGGAGCAAAATAAAACGCGGTAGCCTGATCATACGGTCCCCCAAGTCTCCGTGCTTCGGCTGTTAGCTGGCACTCACACGGCGATGCTGCAGTGTGGCAAAGAAGCGGTGCAATCACACAAGCGTTTTGTGTTTGTGCGCATGAGCAGTTCCGTGGAGCAGCACTGCTTTCAGTTTCCTGTTTGTGCACATGTGCTTACGAAAAACATCCGGTTTGCAACGGGACATGGATGGACGCTGGGTGCCATGGGATACTAGCACTCCCGCGATCAGACGCCCGCCTGTGCTGTGCATTTTCCGGATACTAGTGCACTTTCCTTGGTACTTTAAAACTCTGCATCTTCGGCAGGACGCCACGGGTTGGCCATGGGTGTGCTATGCTTCCCAGATGTTGTGGCGTGATCGCGCCCCGAATATCCGCCCGACATTTGTGCCTTCTCTGTGTGACCAGGGCCTCAGCTCAGCAGACTGCAGTCAGGTAAACTCCTTCTCTTTGTTCATTCCTTTTGTCTTAAAAATCCTCAGCTCCCTTTAACTCCCTCTCTACCCCACTTCTCCTTGTGGCTGTTCCTTGGCACAGAATGCTCATTCAGCCAGAGGCTTAATCCCCCCCCCTTTCTCTCCTAACTCTTCATACACACATTCTTCTGAACACAACTCAACTGTTCTTATGCTTGAGTACCTTTTCAATTCCTATTTCCCTAAATACACACCAAACCTCATTTTGGAAGGTTGTTTCATGGTTACTGGTAACCTTTTAGAGGAACTTTGAGCTGCACACTATCCAGGTAAAGATCCCTAAACCACACATTCTGCTCTCCCCCCCCCCACTGGCAACTCTGTCAGTTTTCCAAGCTAGCCAGTGGAAGTGGAAAGAGGTTTCCCCTGACACTGAGCTGAATTCCTACGAATTAGCTGGGGTTCTGGGTGTGTATCCTGACCTGAGCCCAAGTTAGAGAGTCCATGCATGTCTAAGGATTTACGTGAAAGAGAGCACGTGTGGTAACAGGAGAAAAAGTGGTTCCCCAAAGGTGGTTATTCTATTTCCTAGGCCCTCCTTTAAATAAAGAAATATTTCCATTCCATCTCCAATCTAAATTGCCCAAATATTAGAAGATATGTGTTGGGGTGCAGGTGACCAGAGGCCTGTGGCCAAAAATGGTGGAAGTTAAGATGATCTTGGTATTAAGGGACTTGCAGCTTTTAGAGAAAAAGAAAGAGAAGATGTGTGGTTTGGGGGGGGGGAAGAATGAGTAGAGGCCTGTGTCCCAAATGGTGAAAGTTGATTTTGGCATCCTGGGACCTGCTTTAGAGAAAAAGAAATGGAGGAGATGGGAATAGTTCTGTCTTTTGCCATTCTTGTTTGTCTCTGTGCATCTGCACACGGGGGGGGGGGAGATATAATGCTGGTCCCCCAAATATGGAAAATGAGGTGATTCTGCCGTCCTGGACCCTGCTTCAGCAAAACAAATGCTCCCGCATTTTCAGGCCAAGGTATCTGAGAAGCTAGTATTTATGTGTTGATGGGCTGGTCTAAAATGGGGAAGAGCAGAATTCCAATCCCCATTTAGACATGAAGAAGAAGAAGAAGAAGAAGAAGAAGAAGAAGAGATTGGATTTATACCCTGCCCTTCACTTGGAGTCTCAGAGTGCCTTACAATCTCCTTTTTCTTCCCCTCCCCACAACAGACACCCTGTGAGGTAGGTGGGGCTGAGAGAGCTCTTTCGAGAACTGCCTTTGAGAGAACAGCTCTGAAAGAGCCTATGACTGACCCAAGGTCACACCAGCAGCTGCATGTGGAGGAGTGGGGGATCAAACCCAGTTCTCCCAGATTAGAGCCCACACTCTTAACCGCTACACCAAACTGGCTCCTTCTGTGACCTTGGGCCAGTCACAGAGTCTAATGTACCTTGCAGGGTAGTTGTGAGGAAAAGAGAGAGGGAGAGAGAGTATTTCCTTTCATATACAAATAAAATATTTACTCTAAATGTGTCAGTGAAGGACTTCGTGACATCTTTCCTCTTATCTTTACAGAGTCTTCTTCTTTTGACTGAGATTCAGACTACTATGAGTAAAAAAACATAATGAAACCACATGATTAATTGTTGATAGCATCTGGTTTTTGGAAATATAAATGATTTCATATTGAAATAATTTAACGCAGATTTACTACAAGTTCAGCCCCATACCTCCCAACCCCAGGAAAACCGACAAGTCACCCCCCCACCCCAGTTAAGGTGTTTGCCAAATGGCAACTATATTCCTTTTTTTTTGTCGTTTAAGCTACACATTGGCCTAGGAGCAGTTAACAGTCAAAGGGAAGGATACATGGAAAAGCCGTCTTTTTGAGCGTGGTTTTTAAAATAATTTTTATTTATAACTTTTTAACATTACAATAATACAATTATGAAAGTAGGTAATATGCAAGATGAACCGAGAAAACAAAACAGTATACAGAAGAGAGAAGCATAATATATGCAACTATTGATCGAAATTCTATTGATCAAAATTCACAATTACAGAATTTAAGTAAAAACATAATTAAAAATAACATGAACATTAAAAAACATGAACAGATTAACAGGTTGTTATATGATATTAAAACGTTGAAATGATTTCCAAATATCTCTGAGGAACAGAGCTTGAAGGTACATCAGTATTAACATTGGTTGCTTCAAGAAACGGTAACCATTTGGAGTAGAATAAAGATTGTGTTTTATAAGTATTGACAGGAGGTATGGAAGTAGCAATTTTTTCCATAGTGTAATATTCCCATATTTGCATATACCATTGTTGAAGAGTTAGTATATTAGAACTCTTCCAATTACGTGTAATGACAGACTTAGCTGCCATTAATAATGTTGAAATTAATTATGTTTGTGTCTTAGAGATCATAATACCTTCCCATAAAACAAGCAGTATCAATTCAGGAGAACAAGGTAAGTCTACATTGGTGATCAACTTAATATTACATAAAATTGTAACCCAAAATGTTTTAACTTTTTTGCAGGTTCACCAGCAGTGGTAGTAACTCGCTACTTCGCCACATGAACGCCAGCATAAGGGTGAGTATTTTTTTGTTGATATGGTGTAATTTAACAGGTATATGATACCATCTTGATACCAACTTAAAGGCTTGTGCTCTTTTATTCAGGGATCTGGATAACATACTAGGGGATGACCAGATTTTGAGCCATGTAAGATCAGACAGTGGCACCGCACAGTCTGTATTCCAAGAGACTTGATATGTTGTAGGTTCTGGTGAAATGGATAACAGTGCCTTGTAAAGAATCGAAATGATTCCCTTGCAGGATTTGACATCCGTGGATAGTATTTTTTTTTTAAAGTAAGAGTCCCAAATTCCCTCTCACTTTTGAAAGTGGAGTTCCAGAGGTTCTTTATTTGCAGATATGCAAACCAGTTAATTCTCCTGCCAACCTAGCAGTTCGAAAGCAAGAAATGGCAAGTAGATAAATAGGTACCACTTTGGTGGGAAGGTAGCAGCGTGCCGTGCGCCTTGGTGTTTAGTCATGCCGGCCACATGACAACGGAAACGTCTTCGGACAGCGCCGGCTCTTCGGCTTGGAAACGGAGATGAGCCCCGCAACCCTCCAGTCGGATTCGACTGGCTTTAGAGCAAGGGAGACCTTGACCTTTACCTTTAAACCAGTTAATGACAAGACTCTATTTTTGTCCGATCTCAGATTTGTCTGAAAGAACAAAGCTTTTGTGAATGTCCTTAAAAACGCGTCCGCTGAGCGCCTTGCTCGGACAGCTGTCGCATCCCCTTTCCCAGACAGGGCAGCTCCCGGAACAGAGCGCGCGGTTCCTTTAAGACGCCGCCGGGCCGGGCCGGCGCTGTCTCTTTAAAAGGCTGTCTCCTCCCGTCCCCCGGCTCTTGCAGAGGGCTATGGCCATTGTTCCGCTCCTGCTCTCTCCCCCCTTCCTCCGGGCCTGATTAATCCCAACCACCGCAGCGTTGAAAAAAGGGACGGCGAAATGGCCGAGATGGGCAAAGGAGTCACTGCGGGGAAAATCGCCAGCAATATGCAGAAGAAGCTCACCAGGGCGCAGGAGAAGGTAACGGAGGAGGAGGAGGGGGGGAGATGAATGGTGCTGCTGTGCCCGTAGACGAGAGCCTTTGCGTTCTTCCTGCGCGACTGGGGAGAGAATGGCGTGTCGGGGGGGG